CACTCATGTACAGACACTGGTCAGCCAACAGGTTTTGCTTAGGAGGCTAACAGAGCTATTAGCTGTGAAGTAATCTCATCTTTTACACACAAAGGCATTCCATATGAAAGATAACAAAATATAATTCAAATAACTTCTATACAATTTTTGACAGACACAAATTCAGAGTTCTTTAATTTTCAGGGCATTTGTTACTGCAAATTAATGTTCTCTAGGTTAATTATCTGTGGATATAACTGATGAGATTTAATGTCATGTATGCCAAGTACTTTCAAAGTAAGCTCAAAAGATGTCAAAGCTAGATCCTAGAAACAGTGCAACTAAAAACACAAGCTAACAAATACAAGCTAGTACTTCCTAGTCGTATTTCTAGTTGTATCACACGTATTACCTCCTCATTCCTACCAGCAGCTATGAGCTATGAATTCAACAACCTGCTTACAGAAGAGACATTTGGATCTTCTTCTGAACCAAATTCTTACTGGCTGCTGCTGTGAAGTCTGGGGGGGAAAAAAATGTTCTCCTAAAACCAAGCCTTGATAATTGTTGCTTTTCTTAGTCATTTTGCTGTTGTTTTTGTACTTACCAGATCTGAACTTCTTAAGTTTATTAAAAATATTAACTTATCTCTCAAAAATAAAAAGCCCACGGTAACTATTCTCAGCAAAACAAGCAAAGTTACAGGACCCTGCACACAATCCCAGCTGAGGCTGGCAGACCTCTGAAGCTCACTCACCTCCTTGGCCCCTGCTGCAGATGCCATCTGCAGCTTCTGAGCACCTCCAAGGAGGCCCACAGCCTCTCTGGTCCCTGTGCCAGTGCTCTGGCACCCACACAGCACAGAAGCGCTTCCTGGTGCTCAGAGGAAGCTCCTGTGTGTCAGTTTGCACCCCGTGCCTCTTCTCCTGGCTCTTTGCACCTCTTCTCAAAATAGGCATACACATGGGTAAGGTGCCACTGCACTTGCCACAACCTTTTGCTGGCTCAGTCAGTTTGGGCCCAGCAGCACCGCATGGCCCTTCCCACAGAGCTGCCTCCAGTCAGCCCAGCCCTATGGCCAGCAGCACAGGCTGTCATGCTCTGGCTGCAAGGCTCTGTGTGCACAGCACACCTCAGTGAGACACCTCTGCAGAGCTGTTGCTGAGCACCCTGAGCAGGCGCAGGGCTCCTTAATCTGCAGCTGAGCCCTCACAGACCTGGACCTGGAGTGGGCTCTGGGACAAGTGACCAAGTGGCAACACAGGTGTGTCCCTGCCTGCGATCAGTGCCAGGAGACCAGAGCTTTGCTGCAAGCTTCTGCCATGGAAACTCAGCATTTAACCATGCACAGGAACGGATCAGCACACCAACAATCAGCACCTGCTGCAGGATTCAATCTTCTTACCACTGGTATACTGTTCTACTGTAGCCCTTTAACACCATTTAAAACACTTGTTTTTTTTGTTTTTTCTTTCCAGGAAGGTAAGCAGGCAGTCACAAAGGAAAAAAGCACAATGCAGAAAGAAATGCTGCGTGCAGAAGTCCTATCCTGGGGCTCTGACTCAGGATTCCTCTTTCAGACCTGCACTCTGATGTGTAAGGCTGGCTGGGGAGATCCAAGAGCAAAGTTTTACAAAGCGGAAGCAGTGTTCAGCCAGGAAGCTGCCAATGGCAAGTCCCAGCAGTCTCTAGGAATTACTTTTCTCTATTTTTTCACGAAACAAAAGCAAACACCATTCTGAGTTAATGTTCCACAAGGACTCAGATACTTCTAGGCATGCCTGAGAAGTAAAATCTAGTTTTCTTCAGAGTGCAGCAGCGAGCCTTTTACAAGGATTACATATTTGGATTTATGTGTTTTAATCTGCAGTCGCCACATTTAAAATATCCAAACCCACTGTAAATCTCAACTGCATTTAGATTCTCCTGAACTATAGGAGAAATTCTTTTTGTCCAGATATCTATCATCTATACAAGAATTAAAAACTACAGGAAGCACTCTAAAAAGTCTGATTTGAAAAAACTAATGCAAGATCACCTCAGTATTCAATAAGCACAGGAAGCAAGCAAGGAATAGGAAAACGGAACCACCAAATAAAACAAATGAACCTGCCAACCTATTCAGGAATGGTAAACAAGATTTAAAAATCAGTAGAAGTGATATAGCAGTACTTCAGACTTGCCTGTTGAATTGCAGTACCTAAACAATCAGTGTTAATTTCTCATAAAACAAAATAAACCTGAAAAATACCAAGAGGTTAACAGTGGGAAGGCACTATAGATCAACATAGGAAAGACAAATGGCAACAGCAGCTGCAGAATTACTGTTTCAAGCTGTTGGGAGGGTGCAAGGCTTTGTAGAGCATGCCTTAAGAAAACGACATCGGGTGTAATTGTGGTTGCCAAACCACTCTCCATCCTATTTGAAAAATTATGCCTGTCAGACAAAGTCTGGAAAAAGAGAAACATCACTCCCATATTCAAGAAAGGGAGAAAGGAAGTCCCAAGGAACTACAGGCTGGGGAGCCTCACATCTATGCCTGGGCAGCTTATGGGATGGATTCTCCTTGAAGAGATGTTAAGGCACGCGAGAGATGAAGCAGCGACCCAAGACAGCCAACATGGCTTCATGAAGGGCAGATCCTGCCTGACCTGTCAGGTGGCCTTCTATGATGGAGTGACGGCATCAGAGGACAAAGGAAGGGCAACTGATGTCATCTATCTGGACTTCTACGAGGCCTTTGACGTGGTCCCAAACCATATCCATTTCTCTAAACTGGCAGGATATGGATTCGAAGGCTGGACTATTTGGTGGATAAATAATTGGTTGGATAGCCAGAGGGTTGTTGTCAATGGTTCTGTGTCTGAATGGAGGCCAGTCATGAGTGATGTCTCCTAGGGGTCTGTCTTGAGACCGGCGTTCTTCAACATCTTTATCAATGACACAGACAGTGGGTCTGAGTGCACCCTCAGCGAAGTTTGCTGATGACAAACTGAGTCGTGCAGTTGACACAGTAGAAGGGAAGGATGCAGTTCAGAGGGACCTGCACAGGCTCGAAAAGTGGGCACACAAGAATCCAATGAGGTTTAACAAGGCCAAGAGCAAAGTACTGCACTTGAGTTGAGGCAATCCCAGATATATTTACAGACTGGGAGAAGAACTTAAGCAGCACCATGGAGAAAAGACTTGATGGACGGACGAAAAGCTAGACATGAGACAGCAGTGTGCACCTCAGAAGGCTGACAGTATCCCAGGCTGCATCAAAACAGGAGAGGCCAGCAGGGAGACAGAGATTGGCCCTCTGCCCTTGTGAGGCCCCACTTGGCATATTGTGTCCAAGCCTGGGGCCCCCAGTACAGGAAGGATGAGGAGCTGTTGGAACAGGTCCGGAGGAGAGCCCTGAAGTGATCAAAAGTCTGGAGCACCCCTCCTATGAGGACAGGTTGAGTTAGGCTTGTTTAGCTTGTACAAGAGAAGGCTCTGGGGAGGCCTCACTGCACTTCCAGTACTTGAAGAGAGCATACAAACAGAAGGGGGACCCACTTTTTACACAGTCTAGTAGCAATAGTACAAGGGGAAATGGCTTTAAACTAAAAGAGAGGAGATTTAGGTTATATGTAAGGAAGAAATTTTTTAGTCAGAGAATGGCGAGATGGATATCTCATCTCTGGAGGCAGTTGGATGGGGCCCTGGGCAGCCTGATCTGGTGGGGGGCAGCCAGCCCATGGCAGAGGGTTGAAGTTAGAGAATCTTTAAGGCCCCCCCTAAACTAAGCCATTCTATGATCTCTCTTTTACTTTGGAACACATCATAAGCCCATCATATTTCAGTCTAAGACCATGGTGAAAGCACATCATGAAGAGCAACACCTGTAATATCTCAGCAGAGATGGCAGGTTTTTAGTTATATCCCAAGGTAAAAATCAATAAATAAACATAAAATAATATTAGTGCATAATATTTTTGAAAATACAGAAGAGCAGAGGTAAATAATACATTGACCATTCCACAAGCAAAATATAATAATGACTAGGAGCAGTAAGATTGAGGTACTGCTACTAATAGTAACATCCTCTGCTTTATGAAGTTATTCATTTCACTTATTCTCTGGACAAATCAATTGCTTGCTTCAGAAATTGTTTGAAGATATTGCACTTCAGTCTTTTGCCTAGTCTCATGACACAATAATCAAAAACCACTGAAACAAGAAGGGTAATTATTTTGCCAGTGCCTAGCAAACACTTCTCAAAGACCTAAAACCAGCTGGTGGTGGTACAGTTTAGAAAACAAGGAAGCTATCGTAGCTCTACAAATTATGTCTAGATTCTTTCATTTTCTGACTCTGAAGTCTAATAAATCTAAATTGTTGTGAATAGCCAAAAATCCTTCTAGCTGGTGCATGCGCTTCTTTATTGCACTACATAACAGCAAACAACATTTACTTAAAAAGATTCACTGAGGCATTTCACAAATTGTAAATCCAACTCTTCCAGTGCTTTAGAGGAGTTGCAGATGTATTTCATCAGAATCTATAGCTGTTCTGATGGCCAATGCACTGGTCACAAGTGATTCACCAAGAATGTAAGATGAAATTGGATGGGACAAAACTATTACTTTAGGCCATCCAGCCACTTATAGAAGTACACGAACAACTTCCACTCCTGTTTGGGAAGATTACTACAATAGAGTCTAGGAACTTTAGGGTGGGAAATAGGAAATTCATAACATTACTCACAATTAAGTAAAGGAAACAGAAGGGTTATTTTACACTTCAATTGCTTTTTCTACCATCCCTATTCTCCCTCTGTAAACTTTGACATCAGAAGCACACGATGTTTGTAACACATCATATCTACCAGTGTGGCTGCAGAAAGTACATTTTGAGAAACTAAATTCTGAGCATCCCAAAACAACACATACTGTGCTGTGAAATCAGCAGCAATATTCATTTAGTAAACATAAGAGAGAAATAAATCTTAGTGTATGCTTCTCTACTACATATGCAGGTAGAATTCTCTTACCTTTTGTTGGACTCTGGTTCTGATCTATAAATCCTTTCAAGTCTCCATTTGTGGAAGTCACACCAACCTGAACAAAACATTTTTCAAGTCTTAAAATATGACAGACCTTTCCACATTTTCCAGTATGCAACCAACAGTATTATGAAAGTAATCTGTTCTGCACTGCTGAAACATCATAATCCTATGGCTTGCAGAGCCTAATGAGAGCATGATATGTGAAGCAAGTTTCCAAGACATTGACTGTGTATAAATGAAGACATTAACTACATTTTTAAGTTCTTAACTAAGAAAACCCAAGTCCCTGTATATTCTCATGCTGTACTATACGTGCCCCAAGAAGCACATTATCACTGTCTGAGTAATTGTCCCCTCCAAGTCTTACAAAGCAGCTGCCACCAACAACACTACACAGCCCACAGGTTTGAGGAGATGTGACTACGATGTATTTTATATACATCTCTTGGTCTTTAGAGATAATTTACACAGAATAAATTACTGGAGACACAGGGAACTTACAACCATATTCAGAACAGTGTGTCTGATTTTGGCATGTACACAAGGCACAGAAAGGTAGAGTTTGTTTAGAAAAACACAAGGTCACCACTCCTAGACAGGGAGGGAAGAGACAGAAAGTCCCCAAGTCCCAGGTAGTAAGGCATGCACCCAGCAGCAGCAAGCAGCGATGCAGCACTCCACTGTTTCAGAGCATTGCATCTGTAGCACCTTAGTGAACAAGGTACTTTGGTTTGCTTCCAAGATGGAAGCTGCCATAAGCACCGAGTGACTGAACTCCTCTGGAACCTGCTTAGAACCAGAGCACGATTCCTCCAGCAGGCAATTACGGAAACTACCAGAAAGTCTTTTAAAAAATACTATAAAATGTGAGTGCTTCAATAAGTGACTAGGACAAGATCCAAGATAAGCAAAAACAATTATGCTATCAAGGATCAAGTATTTGCTCTATTTTACAGATGTATGCGGTAAAAATAGGACATTTGCTAGTGTCATTTGTAGAACTGTAATCATATCTAATCAGAGAACTGTTTGATTGCACACAAATCAAATGGTGGCACTGCAGCAGGGCTGAGCAGAGATGGGTGCCGGTCTGCTGCCAGAGCCTCTGCCTGCCTGGAGACAAGCAGCGCCCGTAGGCATCCGTCCTCCTGTGCCCAAGGCAGTGCTGTGGTGGCTGCTCCTGCAGGAGGGGCACAGTGAGCCCTCAGCCTGACAAAGTGTGCACGACGTGTTCCTGAGAGGATCTTTGAAATCGGGGCTGGAAAGTTCAGTGACTCACACAGAGCACAGCCTCACACAGAGCACAGCCTCGAAAGGATGTTCCAGCTGCAAAGCCACCATAGAGAGCCCACACGCTCCCATCACACTACTGCCTACAACAGGGAATACAGAACTGGCTTCTCCAAAGGTGCCCTGCCTCTGTGAGAAGTTGTAAAACACAAATAGGAGAATTTTATATCAGAGCTCCATTAAAGGAACAAGGCTGGATACCAAGTGTTAGATATAAGGGCACAACTTGTTCCAGAAGAAAGAGTAAGAATTAGGATTCCCAAGAACATCTTCAAAGGCAGAACTGCAATTTGTTCACCACTGAACGTTCAGTTCAGGATTTATGGCTGTACATACCCCATCATCTCCCAGTGTGCTTCAGTGAAGCCCTGACAACGGCAGACCTCTGTGCTGTCAGCCCAACGAGACTCTCCAGCAGTTGTTAAAACTCAAATATTTACATTGCATTCTCTGGAACATTTAGATGATTTAATGGATATGGTACTTAAGGAAATGTTGGTCAAAACTGAAGTACCTGAGCTGCTTTTTTTTTTTTTTTTTTTTTTTGTCTTGTCCTTCTGTGATCCAAAGAATACAAAATTTCAGTCTGCATAGAAAACACCTGTCATAAAGACAGTCCGGTCCCTACTAACACAGCTGTACAGAGCACCCAGTGAACATGTGCTCTTCTCTCCATTTAATAACCTCTAAGCTTAGAAGAGCTTGAAAACAAATTTGAATTTCATGAGAGCTTAAATGAGAAGTGACAAATCAAGAAGAGCATTTATCTCACAGAAGAATGACCGTAACTGAGCTCCTCCTCAAAAAAACCAACGAATTTGATGCAATATTGTGCCATTACTGCAGAACGAGAACTTTACAGAGTTTCATTTTGATCTTAGCCAGATTCCAGGTCACGTTATCTGCATTTCTGTAGCAGCCACAGCTTTTGGCCATCTTACTTTAACCATCAAAATATTAGTGATCTACATTCTGGCAAATGGAAGAAATGTAATTTCTAATTCACATAAACCACTTGTAAATTTTAGCTGTAATCCAAAATGGATTTTAAGGAAGAGGAAAAAAATAAGTACGTAGGTTACTCTGCAAGTAATGCCTCCTATGCATTTCTATGGAAAGTACAACAGATGGAGCACTATTTCACAGAGCAAACTCTCAGCTACAAAGTGCTATTTTTCAGTGCAGTCACCACCAGCTGTTTCACGTGGATGCACTGATCGAGGCACTCCACATTTTGTGGTGTGACAGCTGTGCATGGCAGTCCAGAACACAGCTTGTCTTTGCCACTGCTGACACCACTGCTAAAACACACTGCCCACCATCTCACTGTGCTCACACCCATCGCTTGGGCTCCGTAAAAGTCAGCAGGCACCAAGGAATGTCAGTGGGTGCCGTTTTTCCACATAGAGGAATTCACTCCCGCACCTCTGTTCCACATGCACTTCCATGTCAGCTACCATTCTGTGGCTGCCATCAGTCACACGTCAACAGAACAAAATGGCACATTGGTGGGAAGGTTCAGCCTCTGCTGCCATAGCACCAATATCCGCCTGACACCACGGGCCAACAAAATAAAATAGGAGGCATTACTTTTGGAGCAGGCCTCGTTGTTGGTTGTGCTACGAGTAACATTTTACTGAGACCATATTTAAAGACTTCAGGCTACAGAGGTATCATACAGCTTACACAGGTATCATTTATGACTTTCTGTATGACTCGTGATATTTCTTTGTAACACAGCCCCAGTGTCTGGACTACTGGGCATGGCAGGGGCTGGCTTCCTGTTTCTATCTGCAACAAGATAAATCCAACCATAAAATAAGACAAAGCAAGCACCTGGCAGGCCTTTGCATTCTATTAAATACTTACAACATTTTTCCTCTCATGCAAGAAATTCATTCTCCTATCAACCTGAAAAGTTTGTTCTCTCTGCCTTAGAATCATTCCAGATTCTAGTACAAGGAAGTTGCTCATGGCTAGGGAATAACAAACTGGCTACTTTCATATTCCTGTAGGCTCTTAACTGACCTCATCTGTGACATGACAATCATCTTCTAAGAAGCAATGGCAAAACTCTCTGCAAGTATGTTTATATAAATACAGATTAGGTAACCAAAACTAACAGTTCTTATTCAAATAACCTTCCTGAGGCATATTTATTTTGTCCTAAAAATAAGTTTCTTGCTGTTTTTGTTTTCCCCATTTATCAGTTTTTAATGCCTTCTTACCTGAAGGACAGGTGGAAATGGAGGCATAAAACAGGTGAGAAGACATGACAAAGAATAAAATAACTAATTACAAGGCAATTTAAATGACATCTGGGTACACCACATGTTGTAAGCACGAAAATATTTAATCTCCAAGAGAATCCAAAACTTTTATTCACCATTTTGTTATTCATTAGTGGTTTGGTTGGGATTCTTTTCATAAGCAATGTTGCACAAAGAGATACTAGGAAGTTTTCTGCATTTCCCTCAGGTGAGCACTGAGCCCAGCCTTGACAATTCTATCACATACTCAAAGATTCAGCAAGGAAAAACAGTAACAAGGAATGTTATTCTCAACCTCTGCATGTGTTCAGTGGACTGAAAATTTTTACTGTGTTTGAAGCACAAGTTCCTTGTAGACAAAGTAGTTCAACCCTGGTTGTGCATGTGAGATCAGAAAGACATTTTAGCCCACACTTGCAGTACTTTGTTGTCTCAATGCATTAGGAGCAAACATCTCTCACCTACTGTGTCCCAGATGCAGGGCAGTGACTCTGGAACACAGAGGTGACAGTTTCTTGGTGTGTACTTACTTGGTGAGACATACACCCTTCACAAGTTTCTCCAAAAATGCCAAAATTCCAGTACTTTCAAGATCTCTTTCCTTGATGCTTCTACAGAACAAAGAGATGGAGATACCTCTCCTCTGCAGATAAGCTCTGTCCAGCAATTATGTTCCACTTCAACCTCTGCATGTCAGTAAAACATTTCAGACAGCATAACAAATGCCAGCCTTACATTCAGAACAGATTTCAGGCTGCAGAAATCCAAAGATACAAGCTAAACCCTGCAGCTCTAGATTTCAGAAGCACTCCTTGGCCTTTTAGTAGCATAAGAATAGTTGTGGGCTGATGCTGCTGGCCAGTGTGTGTAGTAATGAGTAACTGAGGTTAGGAAATCCTGAAAAAGTGCTAGAAATAAAGACAGAAAGCACACCGTTACTCCAGTTTTTACACTCGTTTTCTGGTTGTTGTTGTTTGGTTGGTTTAGTCTTTTTGTTGTTGTTGTTGGGTGTTTTTTTACTTATCCTTTGGATAAGTATATTTAAGAAATATAAACTAGGTTAGCACAGTTTGTTGTAGAAATTTTCATAGCATGCATATCAATAAAATGCTTACTCTATGAAGAAACTACAGCCTTGAGTTAAAGTACCTCACAGCAAAAATGTGGCTCCATATCAGCACAATGTTGCCCAGCCTGGATGTCATCAGAGGTTTTCAAAACTGAAGTCCTGAGCAGCCCTTGAACAAAGCCCCAAACAACTGCACTCTGCATGAAGGCATCAAGGGTTCCTACTGGAATAGATGGGGCTCCTGAGACTCCTAGCAGGGTATGTGACCATACTGCAGAACACCCCAAGGATTTTATTGGCACTGCTGTTTATCTTTTGACTACACTGAAGTAAAGGTCAAAACCACATACATCAGTAGAATTATCTATTTATACTACACTTGAATATGGCCTATGAAATAAGTAATACACATTAATTTATCCTCTGAGTTGGTCAGCTTGAATCAAATAGATAAGACATCTGAAAGCCCTTCCTGGAACTACATAGCAAATAAAATTATTAATCAAATGAACAGAAAAGATCTTTCAAAGACTGGAGAATTAATTTAACCAAGCTATAGCCTTGACATCGATCAAAACATGCACAAAAGCTTGTGCCGCTTCTGAACAACTGAACTGAAAGCCGTCCTAACATTCCCTGCACTTTTGTTCTGGGTACCTTCCTTCTTAAGCCATGTTGGATCCTAAGCCTGTTTAAATTCAATTAAACCACAGGACGTTTTACCAAAGGCAACGAATTGCTGAGGGCTCACAGTGGTGTTCGCTCACTGATCACCTTAATCAAAACTATTCTGTATACAAATTGTGTACCTCGAGAAGCACCTGCAAATCAGGCCAAAAATTAAGGTCAGGATGCTATCCGTTTTACAAGCTTCCTCAGAACTGGAGCAGGGGAGTAAAAGACAGAGCTTCTGAACAACACACCACAGTCTAGCTAATGTGGCAGATGAACAGAGAGGAAAGCCCTGAGTCTTCTAGAAATTAGGAGTGTATAGACATTGGTAAATAAGCACGTCTGCTCTTTTTACAGTTTTGAGACTGGGACTCAGTCGGATCTTACTCTGGTGCTTCAACAAAATGAGAGGTTCTCAGATCAGTTTGCAGCAATGTTAGTGGAAACAACAGCAGAAAGTATTGCCGTGGTTATTAACCTGACCTATAACTGACTCAACTCTGTGTCCTTAAGGAGCATCCAACTAGTTTACATGAATAAAATACAGCAGAAGATATTTGTAGTATGCAAAAATCTTCTCCATTTCAAGAAATGAAACACAAAGAGCTTCAAACCTGAAAGAAGTGACTGGCAGCACATCAGTATAAAAAGGAATACATGTTACAGAATTATAAACTTACATTTTTTGCCGTCATGTCAGAAGGTCTTGGTCTATATTCTGTAAAACCATAAGATCTCCCTTTTCATCTTCACAGAATCTTTAAAACCAACACCCTGCAAGAAAGTAAATTAAAGCATACGAGTTAAAATACATTCTCAGTTAGCTCTCTATCCAAACCCTGCATCTCCTCGGGACAGCTAAATTTTGCACGTGTTTATTTTTAATAAAGTTACTCATCACAACAGAAGATTCAGCACATACTCGAGAAATTTACAATGCTTGAAATACTCAGAAATGTAATCTTAATATGGAGTCCTGATATGTCACTGTGCTAGCAGAGCTTATCACACCATTCCTAAAGTCTTGTAGCCATGTCTTAAAGTCTTAAAGCCATGCAAACATTTACATCAAATACAGACTGACCCCAAAAACTGAAAGTGAATTGATCTTTTCATTGTGTCTTTAACTCTCACAATTGAGAAAACTTCTGATTCTATCACAGCACATATACAGAGATCTTGAGAAGGAGCAGGAAACAATACAAAATGCACAGACACAGCAAACATTTAGCAAATTCAGGAAACATCCAAAAAAACCCAAATGCATTTCTGTTCAAACTCACTTTTTAAATATTTTCAAGCCTTTGTAATTAGGATTATATTGAAATTCCAGGGAAAAGAAACATTCTGATAAACTGAAGAATACTTACAGTGACTTTTTTTGAAAAAAATCAAATCTTCCAGAAGTCTCACAAAAAAGGAAAACAAATTACAAACGATGGCAGCACAAACCATTTCAGAGACAGAATTAATTTGACAAAATGTTCAAGTACTTTGAAAGCACTTTGTAAGTACTACTTGCTGTTAACAAATGGGACTAAAAAGACATCTGAATTGTGCTTAGATGCACAAGGGAGAAATGCTCACACTTTCAAGAGTGGAATTGATTCACAAAAATCTTACAGAACACCTGAACTGGTTACTGTGAGTCACAACCACTCACAGCAGAACTCACCAGCTGCAAAAGCAAGTACAATCTATGCTGTTTCCTTTGAAATTCAAACTCTTGTTAGCTTTGAGTACAACCATGTCAGCACCTCCCTTCTAAGAAAGGACCAAAAATGATTTCAGTAGAATATGTTGCCCATGACAGACTATTGACACTGCATTCATGATTATGAATGCAGATAATGCAGATAAAGAACCAGACTGAAAGAATCAAATAACCCAAGTTGGAATGGACCCACGAGGGTCATCGAGTCCAACTCCCGACTCCCCACAGCACCATTCAAAATTGAAACCCTGTGTCTAAGAGTGGCCAAATTTTTAAGCCTGCATCTCCTCCAGCCCACTGTTGTCCTCAAACTCAGAATACACCTGAGTCCTGCTTCCAGACACCATCTTAACCCTTTCCTTTACAGATTTAGCACTTGATCTTGAAGAGTGAGGAGTGATTTAAAAGGCTTAAAGAACATCACCGATTTTGTTAGCCTGCTTCCTAAATTTCTAAAATATCCAATAAAAGCGTAAGAATCAAAGAGGGGTTGCACATCTCCTGCTTTTGCCATCATGCAAAACATACTTAGTGTTTTTTTTCTGGTTGGACCTACAGAGCAGCCTCTGGGAGACTGCTGGTATGGCAGAGCATCACACAGGTATGCAGTGACTCCCTTGCAGTGGCCGTGCATATTGAAAGCACAGAGCATTTGCCAGAAATGATGACAAACTGGGAAAAATATACTGTACATACAGAAGACCGTCCTCCATCCCTGAATTCCTGGCAGAGGAAGAAGCATTTGCTGCTTGTAGGGAGGTCAATCAGTTGCTTCACACATAAACCAACACTTACAATTTTGGTGGGAGGGATGGAGGTTCCAATAAAATAAACCTTGGTAATAGAGGAGATGGGGATGACAGTACATGTTCTGATCTTCATCTTTTTCTCTGGCTGTTGCCAGGCATTTTAGAGGTAGCACTGCTGAGTAACAGAAATATGGATAACATATATTTGGGTTGTATCCAAGTTTGAAGCCATGGAACAGAAAGATAAATAAGTCAGGATATGATGAATTTATTTATTTCCATATGTGTGCAACATATCCTGTTTTAGTCTAAACTGTACAATTAACTGACCGACAGACCTTTTTAATATCCTTGTTTGTCTTCAGCAATTAAAAGCCTTAGTTCTGGTATCTTACAGTCCTAAATTGCTAGCAGTCCTAAATTGATAGCAACTCTTCCCTAACTCTTCTCCTTTGCATTTTTTAGTTACTCTTTACTGCCACTCATACTTAAAGAGAGATAATCCACAACTGCTTGAACACTGCAAGAGAAAAGCTGCCCTGACAAGAGCCCTGGCTGCCCCTGCCCCACAGGGAGATCTAAACTAGAAACACCTGTGCAGCAGCCCAGGTGCCCAGGCCATGCAGGGAGCAGCTGCTGGGCCAGAGAGAAGCCTGATGGCAGCACAAGAAGACAGAGAGACAGCGGCATCCACAGGGCCTCTGCCACTCAAGCACCTGAAGAAAGTCACCACCTAAGCCAGAGCTGTGCCAACCCTGCCAGGCCGTGCTGCAGCAACACGGAGGGAGAAGTGCCAGACTTTGCTCCCTTCCCCACTGCCACCAAGCAACAACCAGACTTTGGGTGCCACCTCTGCTCCTCTACCTTGCATGGCATTTGGATTTACAACTGGCCCAGCACAGCAGGAGCCACCCCAGCTCCCACAAGCAGCAGGATCCTTGGGTCCTCCTAACCTCATCCTTTAAAAAGGCCATTCCAGCAGCAGCCATGCTGATGCTGCCTGCTGGGCAGCCCCACGTGGCGCCTGCAGCTCTAACTGGGCACACGTAGGTGGTGGGCCAGCACCACAGTGTGGGACCCACTGCTGACAGCTGGGAAAGCAGCACATGTTACAGGTTAAGCTGAGAGCTCTTAGGGAGATAGTTCCAGAAAGATCTTCAAGTACTGGACCTGAGAACCTGGAAATACTGTCACATCTTTTTATTTATGTATCTACTTATCTATTTCATGGTTCTGAGAATGAATAAATGTTTGAATAATGAACCTTTTCAATTGCCATATCCTTTTAGTCGTTCATTCATTCATTTCATGCTCCTTGAACTCCATCAGGCTTTCTACAGATCTCTTATGTTTTTCAGATATTGTATCACTTCAGCTGCTATTAGAGTTAAACGCCACTCAATTTGGTAGTGTTCTCCCTTTCCTACTGAATTAACGTTATTTACCTCCCTTGCTGCCCCAATCTGCTGCAGCTGTGACCAAGGAGCTATTCCAGCATCCGAATACCACACTATATGTCTACTAAGACATACTGTAGCAAACAGAGCCTTTAGTTTTAGTTTCACAATAAAACATCTAAGAAAATAAGAAGCATTTTTATCTTGTATGGTAAGGACACAGTGAGAAAAATATAGAGAGTTATCTATTAATGTTCCTGGGGAAAAAGGACTGCTAGAACTGTGTAGCCATCTTGAAGCCTGGAAAGTTGCCACAGAAAAGCCATGCAGTGACAATGGTCCACAGCAAGGAACCAATACTGACAACCTGCACCACATTTGAAAATTAGGATTCTGCCATTCCTTTCTCTTTCTCCTCCTTCCACACGCACCTTCCAAGTACATCATCTGGAGCTCTGGCCCAAAATTCATGATGCAATTTGCCTTCCCTGTCTCACTTCAAGAGGCTTTACAAGTAATTCACTCAAATAAAACATAGCTGAGAGAACATTTTCTAGTCAGTTTCATCCTGCTGACAGATAGGCCAGCTAGTTTAATCTTTGACAAGTTATTTGCCATCAAGCTTAGTGATCCAGAAGGCATTGTCCATAAACTATTACAGTCACTTGCCACAGTGCTTTTCAGACAGCACAAACAGTTGGTATTCTTCCAGCTTTATGAACACATTTTGTCAAGCTCAAGAAGCCAGACTTTGTGACCCCACCATCTGCCACGACCCCTTGTCAGGTTCAGACAAAAGAACTTACACAGATGGCCTCAAAATGGAGATTCTCTTCCTTCTGAATTGCTGTTTGACAGCTTGCACCACACAGACAGAGCAACAAAACTCTACCTTTTTGTTCCTGAGCTGGTTTCTACTGAACCAAGGACGCGTAAAGCCCAAAGCACATGACACACACAGACTGCTTTACTTGAACTGAAGTTCTCCATAATCTAATCTCAGTTTATACCCCGCTCCCATGATTTTACCTTTTGGTCAAGTATTGTACAGCTCTGTGAGAGAACAGAACCATAAGAACCATAAGAACCAAGGTGTGATTTCTTCTAGAACTTACATTGCCCAACCACTTCTGCTGATGCCATTAAAAAGACACCGAAAACAGTAAATTTACAGAAATGGACATCATCAAGCTCCAGACTAGTTAGTTTAGTTCTCCATACATATCCTTCATCACAAGTCAAAAGACAGATCTATTCTGAAGTGACACTGAAGCAAAATTCCAGTAGGAGAAAGACTGCAGAATAGAAACAGTTATCTGAGAAAAATGCTACCTCTGTACTCCTCTGTACATTATTTTCTGTGGTCCAAAGTCATACTTTAAATTATTCCTATAAGATACACATGTTGGCTAAAACCTAGCAGTAGGAAAGAATAAAGCCCCATACCAGAACAGTCTGTTTTCAGCCCTTGACAACAAATCTGTAGCAAACATCTAAGATTTCTATAATTTCCTCAAATTCTGACCAGTACTCTGCATACCAACACTTCACAAAGACCAGCACACACACAGGCCCTCCCCAGCCTCACAGGCCACCTCCCCACAACACAAAGCATAATTCATATCAGGATATCAGTATCAAACACCTACAAATTAAGGCAACTATTTTAGACCACCTAAAATACAAAAGAAATGTCTTCATGAAACACAGAAAAAAGCTGTAAAGATATTTCACACTGATTTTTATCATGATCAAAGAATGCTTTTTTGATTTACTCAATTGAGAGCATTGCAAAGTGGAAATGATTCCAAGTTGCTGGCTCAACTACAAGAATGAAAGTGTCACCAGTTCCAACACCACCAAAAACCAACCTGTATCACAGCTGCCTCTGCTAGAAAATAGCTCGTGTTCCTC